TATTAATTTCTATGCAGTAGTTTTTGAGTAATGAATAAATAAAAAATTCCAAAAAGTTTTGTTACACACTGTATATTTTTAAGAGTATTTTAATATAATCTGAAAACTCCCTAATTAACAACACCTGCTTAAGCAGTAATATCAGATAGTACAAGAAAATTTTTAGTATCACCAGGGACTACATGATATGTAAAAGCTCCTCAGTCATTCAAACATTTGAATAAACATATACTTTATATGGTTTAAAAGTTATCAACCAATTTAGCAAAAATATTAGAAAACTCTATAACAACAAATACAGTATTTTAGTAGCCTTTAGAATCAAACTACTCTCAAGAACTCTTTCAACTCGTCTTATACTTCACTAATTATATCCTAATCAATACCCAGATACCTGGTGTCCAAGATGTGAGCTTTACATCAAAAATATTCAATATGTCTTTAAATATACAGAAGCTTTACAAGCAGCTGAACAAATCATCAAATACGTTAATCAAATTTTTTAATTAAATAGTAACTACAAACCAATCTTATACATGTGGCAAGTCGTCGAACTGTTATATGAATTTACAAACAAAATTTTTTTAATCTTAATCACTACTAACTGGATCAAGGCAGTAACAGAATCCTTAAGTTTACTATATAATCTAATTTAAAAACTACACTGCTTCATAGCCAACATCTTATCTCTTACTGGAATCAAGTGGAATTATGCCAAACCTCATAATTTAATCAATTCTAGCAATTCAAAAACCAAAAACATCTTGCAAGACAAAGACAAAAACAAATCTAATAATAACTTACAAGAAGATACCATTATTGACCTATCATCCACTGTTGCTAACTTATTTATTCAATTTAAATATAATTATTCCAAATGTATTTATAATTTAACAACTTTAGCCATCAACTTTAATTCTATTTCTTTTAATACTGAGTAGATATTCATAGCTGTTCGATGCCATCTGGCAAAATATATTATTTTAAATTTTTTTTCAATATTAGTTGCATGGTTACTGTAGATAAACTAGCATTTAACTCATTATACCAACATATAAGAGATGTTATTTCTTTTATAATGTATATCCTGTCATATACAAATCAAATAAAAAAATGATATTTACCTACTAAATAAAAAAAAAATATTTTAATATAATATAAAATATAATATTTTGTATTATTATTAAAATTTTCAAAAATTTTATTAATTTTAAATATATTTTATTTTTTATTATAATTTGTTATTTTTACTTATATTTTTTTATATAAGATATTATTCTTATTCTTAAGAATTTTTAAAATATTTATATAATTTTAAATAATACAATAACTTTAAATTGTTATGGTTTAAACTTCAAATTGATAAGTATTTTTGAAATTTTAAAAAATTATTGCAAAAAAAAATAAAAAAAATGTTAAAAAAAAATTGTTATAATAATATTTTGAGCAATTTTATATTTATTTTTATAAATAAAAATTTTTTTAATAATTATTCAAGTATTATATAAAAATATTTTTTAATTTATTCTTTATATAAATAAATGAATTATAAATAAATAATTAAATTAAAAATGATTTACAATTTATTAAAACATTATAAAAATATTGCATTTTTTCTGTCTTAAAAAAGAAAACAATTATTATTATAATAATAAATATTGAATTTTTATATTTTTTATAACATTATATGTATACAATATATATATATATTAAAATTTAATTTTAATATATGGTTATCTTTTGATTGTAATATTAGAATAAAGTTGTAAAATTTAATTGAAACAATAATATTTAATTATTTATATTAATTTATTTAAAATTAGTTAAAACAAAATGTATATTAAATAAATAAATTATTATTTTTATCAGTAATTTTGAAATTTAATAAGAAAGAAATTAAAAGTTTTAAGATATTAAATCGTAAATTTTTATTTTCTTTAAATTTTTTTTGATATTTTTTTAATTAATTTCATTTTTATTTATTTTTATTTTACAAAACCACTTTATTTATTGTAAGTTTAAATTGATACAATTTTCATTTTGCTTTTTCAAGCCAATATAAGGATTAAATAAGATATTATAAAGATTTAATAAGTGAATATATATATATTTGATAGATTTATAGAATTTGATAATTTTAAATATCTTGTGATTTTGAAAAAAATTTTTAATCATTAATAAAATTATAAAAGTTAAAGAAATTACAATTTTGATAACCAATTGTTATTTTAGACAACTTTATTAATTGGATTGATAAGATGACTATTTCAAGCTATTGACATCGGTTATTTTTTCTAACAATACAAATTAAATAATTAAATAAAAAATATTATTTATTTATAATATAGATATACAGTATATAAATGGTATTTATTTATTTACAAAATAAATTTTGATTCAATAATAAAAAAGAAAATTTATAATCAAAACCAAGAAAAATACTCTTTATAAATACAGTAAATAGAAATTCTTAATACAGTATTAGATTATATAAAGAAATGAAGATAAACCCTTTGATGCTTTAATAATTGCGAGATCAAAAGCAAATTGGAACAGGAAAGATTGTATAGATGCGGGTGATGACAAAGGTATAACAATGATATACTTTAATAATATTTAAAATTGATTTCTTAAAATAATATTCCGTATGATGTTAGTTTACACATGCTGGGCATATTAATAATGGACACATACAGTGTATATGATTAATAAAAATTATTCGTTCTTAGAATCTATTAAGAAAAGACCATACTGCGCATATACAACAAGTAAATGCATATTATTTTTTATGCAAGCCTATCTTTATATAATTAATTTCCAAATCTTATGTTTCCATTCGTGCTCAAAAAGATTTAACCACAAGGTGACCCACGCCGACTCGGTAAATGAATAAAGACGTTAGGTACGGTCGCAGCATGAAACGATAATAAACTGCGGAAAAGTGTAACATCAATAAAGCGTACACATGCTTGCGCAGTCAAGGAGTGTAGTGTATGTCTACTTTATATAAACGCCCAAGACCCCACCATCAAGAATTCGGAATTAAATCGATAGATAAATAAATACTGTATTTTTAAAAATGTGGTTACATTGCTTCAACTGTCGCTTCATATGTTATGCCGAGTGGATTCCTGATCCATCAGTATTTTCGACTCCGTCCACCGAATTTAGCTCAAAGAAAATCTGCAACCGATGCCATACCCCCTACAAGATTATATTATCTGACATTCGTATACCAAGATATGATACCGAAAGCTGGAACTCGGTTTTTTCAGAAGTTAGATCGAAGCCATACAAATTGATGGTACAGATAGTCATGCGATTTTATGAGGCATTGTTCGCAGAGGTTGGGAACAAAGATGGGATTGGTAAAGATGGAAAAATATATAAGTATGGTGAAGGTCACTTTCAATCCCTCATCAACCACATTCGAGCGCTCTCGCAAAATCCAACCCTTTATGCTGGCCACACCTTTGACGCCCAACAATTGGAAAAGGTCACGAGAACTATTCACCCTACTTGTCGAATCACTATACACTCGTCCTTCACTCTGTTCTCTTCTCATCGAATCTGGATTGCAGATTGACACGGAATCGGGGCGAACACTCTTACACATGATACTCAGGAGACACACACATGATTTGCCCCCCTCATTTTACGCCACCCTTGCAACGTTGCTACAAAAGTATGATGGAAAGTTGGACATCAATTATAAGTGCAGAGAATGGGGAAATACACCATTTGGTACCGCATTGACCTTACTAGACCCCAGATTACTTATCACACTTATTGAGAACAGCCCCAGTCCCCCAGATTTTAGGATCGCAAACAAACAGCATCAGACGCCACTACATCGATTCTTCTCCAACATTACGTTCAATATGCGGTACAAAGAAGAAGAAATACTCAGACTTATCCAATGCGTTAAAGTAATCGCCGAGTACCTTACAAATCATATGACAGCGGCAGAAATTTCGATCTTGACGAAGATCAAGGACATGACACAATTTACAATAGGCGCAGTGTGTAAAAACGCGATTGCAAGATTCCGAAGTAAAGGGAGTGAACTCTCAAGAGTCCAAGATGAAATTGAGAAATTTTATAATTTCTGGGTAACATACGAGAAAAAGGCCAAAAATAATAATACCAAAAAATTAAGAACCGAGAAACCAAGTATCATTTACGAGAGAAACATCGGAGAGATAATGCAATTGGTAGACGAATTTTATTATTAATATTAACGTGCAATGTATGTTACAAGATCGCGCAATAAAGAATGTTCAAAAAAAAGGTTTTGAATATCGATCATTCGGAATATTACTACTTTATTACTCATGAAATACAGAATTCATAAATCAACGTAAGATTTCAATGCAGCAATTAAATAAACAATTTCTATATACAGTAACAGCGATTTACTATCCAGTATATACAGTCAGTCTATTTAAAACATGACGATCTATTTTTTTGTCTAACGAATATAATATAAATTAGATCTGGTTAAGAATTTTGCCCGCCAACGTAAAACTGAAACAATTGGTACATGCTAAGTGATATGTAAATATTTATTGTATGTTTTTGAATTTATTATATACACGAAGTATATGCGAGGCATATACGACAAAAGTGTTTTCAAAAAGTTCTATGGTCCTCACCATAATGGGTACGACGCAAGATTGACAATCTTCGGAATGTACCGTTTTGCCTCCTCCACCATACTCACAGAATACTTTGTTCCCAATCCCCAAAGCTTCAGGCATTTCAATCGTACACCTCGCATCTTGGCATAATCAATAACGACTCTCAGAAATTCGTCGTTTGAGTTATCAGCCCTTAGCACGAGCTCACGAAAATTGGCCGGACATTCTTCCAGAAACGTTGCCAGCATTCTTGGTGTCAGGTCGAATGTAATCTCCAGATTCTTCAGCGTGGGCGGTAAGGAATGTGCTACCTGCCTCACGAATTCCGTGGAAAACGGCAGACTGTGATCCTCCCATAGAAACAGGTATTCTAGCGGTAACGTACTAAGATATGGGATCAGGTTGAATATTGAAGATGTGGACATGGTCAAATATAAATCCATGATATTTGGGCAACATTCGCCCATGACATCTAGTAGCTCGGGTGTGACCTCGAATATCATCAATGCTCGTAAATTTCTATTAGCCATTCGGACTATGATGGACAGCGTCTGCGTCACTAAATCCGGATCGCTCTTGGCATCATAGGAGATAAGCTTTTTGATGCTTAGCGGTTTGATCAGCGAAGAGTTCCGCTTGTGTTCAGCAAACACAAGAGATTCCGAATTTGACTCAGGGACCTTGAGAAATTCCAATGTTTCTAGACTGGTACAATTCACCAACACGCGGAGCAACAGATCAAACTGTGACAAATTTTTTAGAGTCAGGTGAGTAAGGGCGTGTGTTTGATTTTGCAGGGCTAGATAGAATTCCAACGAAAAAGCAAAATCCTCCCAAAATTCTTCCATCTCCAAGAATTCCAAACCCTTTTGGGATTCGATCAGCTGAAATATCGGAGTACATACGGTGGGAGAGGGAGGAGACCAACGATATGGGTCAATGGTAATGGTGATGTACTTGAGAGACCGCGTGAAGAGGGATAGCTGAGTGCAAATGCGAGCCTTGTGATCAATGTTCAATGGCCATCTCTCCTCATCGTCATTGTCAAACTTTAATTCAAACTTTTCCAGGTTCTCAAATGCCCGGTAATTACCGAAGAATGTGGTGATATTCATCAAACAGGTATCTTCGATCTCGCCGCGATCTATCTTCAACACACGTAATCCAGTGGTTCTACTGAATAGTAAATTCCCTATTACTTTATTCAATACCTTTACTTTAATCGGGAATTCCGAATCGACGATGTCCCAGAGCATCATCAACCAGTCTTCGATAGAACGATTGAAGTTCTCGGAGTCGAATCCGCGGAGGTAACGTGGGTAATCGAACAGGGGGTTGGCCATGTCCGGAAGGCTGATGTCGTGATTGATGAGAGCTTCTTTGTCCTTGAAGGCGAGGCAGGAAATGTAGGTCTGAATGATATTGACCTGTTTTCCAATTAGTTGGTTTTCGAAAGGGCGACGCCACAATAGCGGGATGGCGAGCTGGCTGAAGACTCGGTTTACCATCACGCAAGAGTATAATGTTGCACGATCGTCCTTTAGATATTCAAAAACATTGATCAGGCAATCTAACGCTAGTGGATACGGAATCGTGTGCTGAATGATCGTAGGTGCATCGACATTCATCGCAATGCTGTTAGAAAAAACGTTTTTTCCAACGTCATGATTTGTGCCGGCATATTCGGAGGGTGGTGATGAGGGTGAATTAGTGGAGCGAGTTGACGAGGAAAATTGTATTTTCACTGGTGCCCGTGTCATAATGCAAGTTATTTGATTAATGCAATTCTGTTCAACGCGTTGTTGATATTGATGCGTGTATTTGAACGTGATTTTTTTTTTTTTTTTGTTTATTAAAAGAAAATAATAATGTGGGGTAACTTTTTTAAAATATATATTTGTTGTAGTGTAATCTGGGATTAATACGATCTCTGTTGAGATTCAATGATAATTGAGTCTGTTTTTTTTTTTACTGAACTAACCTTCGCGGCAGACAAATAGAAAAAAAAATTAAAAAGTAAATGAGATAGATTTATGTATGTATGGTAGTTAATGCTTAGACTTTTATATATATACAAATACGCAACAAACTTGGATGTGCCACTTTTTTTTTTTTGAAGCGATGTAATTATGAGTGTTGGCAAAATAAATAAATAAAAAAAAATCCGCCACCACTGTAAATAGACTAATAAATAAGTCAATTATCGGCGAAAGAAACCTCAAAATTGGACCACGAGAAAGCGATCAGTCGCATGTACTACACTTATGCAATATAATTGTAAAAAGTTTTTTTATCCGAAAATATACGTAATGACATATGATCTCATTCGATGTGTTTCAAAAATGTGACAATAATAACTGTGGAGGTGTTTAAGGAAAAAAAACGGCTAAGCAAAATTGCTGTGATTTGTTTTGATTCTCGTGTGCCTGTGACTTGACGGCCAAACGTTGAGTGTCTGATATTGCGATCCTGAGAAGTTTTTTAAAAAAAGGGACAGCTTTTTCCTTTGAGCCATTGATCAATTTCATTATCCATTATTATGTTTTTTACTGATTGTCTGCCATCCTGCTTTACCATTATTACATCATAAATCGTGAGAAGAAAGAATTTTTTTTTTTTACACTGAGAGATGCTCCTATCATCATCGATCATTTATGTCGTACTACGTTTAATGAAAACGTGGCCCGCCTATCACTGAAAATGAAATACAAGGCGCAGCTGAGTATTGTGAACATGCACGTTGGCTGACGTTTCTTTTTTTCGCTGAGACGCTATTATCACATGATTGAATCTTTTTTGTCAGATCTTATCAATCGTTTGATTCACATTTGGCGAGTAAGCGCATCTGCGCGTAATTTGTTTGAGCGAGAAAAATTTTTCAAACGAGATGTCAATCCCCTTTGAACCATCGTATTATATCGTAATGTGAGCCTGTTTATTCGACCAACTTCTTACGTGATTATCATCCCACCGGTTTGGCGAAGCGTAAACAAACAAGCCGCAATGGTTAGTCGATCTTGTATATGCGAATTGTTTTTTTCAACTTATACGTATATGTGATCCCCCGAGAATGAATGTACAATATATGTCGGTCGCCACTATTGTTGTTTCCAATTTAGAAGCTATCAATTTGCGAATTTCGGTTAATGTCGAAGCCACATCTGTTGGTTTCGCAGTTCTTTGACACCTGTCGACACCACACTGCCATCCACCATTATGAATCCCAAATACATAACGGAAAATAAACAATCAAGTTTTGTCGATCAACCGGCTTAACTAATTGCTATAATGATGCACCCGTACAATATGTTGCAACAATGAATTAGTTGCAAATGGGATGAATCTCATGGACAGTCTACGAAATTACAAAGAAATGTTGAAGACAATGGCAACCGTATACCGATCTTGAACATGATAATGACTGAAATCAAGAAGGCATTCACTTGAAAAAATACAATTATCTACGGATATACTGTACGTACGTACGTACGCACATGCGCTTTTAATGCTGTAAATTGCTTATGTAAATAATCGAGGCTTGATTGAACGATTGTCGAGCACAACAATCTGGGTTACGTGCATGTGAGCTGATGGAGTGTGGGGTAAATGTTTAGTTTGAAAATTGCTTACAAACGTGAAAGTTGGCTATCTTTATTTTTCCTTTTTCGTATTGGGCAAAAAAAAGAAAGAAAGAAAGAAAGAAATACAATCAATACAATCAGGACTGCAGTTTGTATTCAGCATAACGGGTTATTGTTTTATGCTTTGCAAAAAAAAAAAATTTTTTTTTTCTTAGGCAAGATGTGGTACAAAACCGTTAATTGCGAATTTGGCACCAATCTCAACCAATTTTATCATCATTGGAAAAACAAAAAAAAAGTCTTTCCATTTTTGTCAATAAAATCGATTTCGATTGTTTATTTGTTAAAAAAAAAAAATTCAGACAATCGATGAACTTTTTTATTGAAAATAATCAATGAAACAATCTATTGTGATGTTCTTTCACTATTTTTTATTTCATTAAATCGAATCTGTTCCTCTACATATAAATTTAATTCCGGTTACCAATTTTCCATATACCGTATTATAAAAATTTGTTTTTTGTTTGTTTTCTGTGTGAAAATTAAAGTTATCATTGTCAACTTGATTTTCAAAACTTGAAAAGTTTTTTAAAAAAAAGTCATTACTATTAAATCTATCATGTCATTTAATAAAATTATTTTATAATAAATAATATTCGTAAGATTTAAATATGTAATTATATACTGTATATTGTATATATATGTATATGCTGTATTTCAAATAAATAATATTGTTATTGTCATTGTTTTATATGATTTACAAAATTATGGAACAAAAAGATTCACAATTTTTCATAATTACAATTTCATAATTATATAATATTTTGCTTTAAACCTTTTGAATTTTTTATTTATTAATATAATATACTGTATATCAAAAAACATTAACATACAGATTTTTTTTAAAAACATACTATACATATAATATAATTAACCATATTTTGATTATATTTTATATCAAATCTTATATATTATAAATAAAATATTATTTATTTTAAAAAAATTGAAATCATTATATTCTTTTGAAAATTAACAATAATCAAATATATGTTAAACGAATTTTATTTAAATAATGTACATGATATATTTTTAAGTAAAATTCTTTATATTAATTCTTTTACTATTCAAAATCAATATTTTTAAAAAAACATTATTATTTCTTTATAAATAAAGTTTATCTATATATTTGAATATCATTATTATTAAAAACTTTACTTTTTTAATACATTTTTTTTTAAAATATAAATTACTTTTAATATCAAATTTTTATTTAAATTATTTTGATATTAAGATTTTCAAAAAATACAAACAAAATATTGATTCTTATTTTCTGTTTTGTTTTATATAATAACTTTACTATTACTATTAAATATAATAAAAAATTTGAATAATTATATTATTAAAAATAATTTAATATACTGTATTTTTTTATAATATTTTATATTAAAAAAATTATAAACAATATATTATTTATTTTACTTTATTTTTTATTATATATATAATATTTAAAAAATTAACAAGATTATACATATTATTTTAGTTTATAATTTGATTTGATTTATTTATATTGAAAAAATATTTATATAAAAAAGTTTTTTCTTTTAAAAAATAATAGAATCATTTGATTTCTCTTATATTTAATAAAGTTTTTTTTATTTATTATAAACAATATTTTATTTATAACTTTTTTAATATAAAATATTATAAATAAAATATTATAAATTTATATTATATATTACAAGTTCAATTTTATTAATAAACTAATTTTATTTTTCAAAAAACTATATACAAATTTATAAACTATTAATTTAACTATATATCTTGTTATTACTGCTTTCTATAACTAGTGCCAAATATTATAACATGGATTTTATCAAATTAAGACATAAATTTTAATCAATTTTTTGTTATTCTTTTCTTATAATTAATATAAAATTGTCTTGTATTATTATTTTTTTTGAATCATCAAGTTTATTCTTTTTTCTATCTTTTTTTTTATAATTACTCAAAAATTCTCTATTGAATTAAGATTTGGAGACAAAGATGATCAATCAAATATTCGCAAACAATAATCTTATAGTAGTGATATAGTATTTTTTGCTTTATACTTGAAATTGTTATTCTGCTGAAATATCCAATTATTATTGACAACCTGATACACTTGATCAAATAGATTTTGTATTAATATTTTATAATACAGCTCACCATCTATAGTATCTATAAAAATGTGAAAATTAATAATTTTCTTTGCACAAAAAGATCTTTATACATAAACTTTATAGAAGTGTTTCACAACCACATAGGTTGATATTGGTTTGCTGGCTTTGTAATGCACCTGCAATGTATTTTAAAATAATTGAAAACTTGATTCATCAGAAAAAATCATTCTTTTTTACTGTTTATTCAAATAAACTTGTGTTCAGATAACTTTACATTTCATCACTTTAGAATATGGTTCCGAAAATTGGAATCGAATAGAATCGAACAGAATCGCATGAGGTTTGGAACACTATTAAAAATGATGGTG